TTCAGGTCAAGATCTTTCTATGATGGGGGCAGCTATTTCAGAATGGGTGATGCAAGGGTGATATGTCCTAGGTTATTCTGAAGTACCTCCTGCTCCAGCGAGGAAGCAGAAAAGGTAGGATTAGCTCTATGCTTTGGGGAAGCAGTGGGGACCAGTTAACACATTCGTGGGAACCAAGGATCACAGAGTGAAGTGGACAGTGCATGAAGAAGCTTTCCTCATACCACCTTCTCTGATGTGCTGTAGAACTGGCCAGTGATAAAATGGATGAGAGGAGAGTGATGTAAGCTGCTTTGGGTCCCCACTGGGGATAAAGGTGGGGTAGAAATGAAATAATGAATACAGTGCTGATCAAGTATTCTTGAACCATTGACTTCAGCACACTATGCTAATTTAAACAAGTAACTTCTTCTGAAACAGTAACATTTTAACTTGTTGAATATTGCAGCTATATTAGAAAAGTGTGTTATTTAGATGGTTTTCATCCAAGACATCCCAATCCAAGGAGTATCTAAAATGGCTTACACTAAGAATATATAATGATATCTAATTCTGAACATTGCCCTAACATATGAATTAAAAAATCCACACAATATGGCCATGTACAAAGCAGGGAATTTTCTCTGCATACCTGGGACACCCTGCCCCCCCCCCCCATGGAGAACAATGACCAAGATCTTGTGAAGCCTCACATGATCATGGTTGGCATTATGGGACTGCTTAGCAACCACAGCAGAAGGAAAAGTTTCAGGCAGGTAAGATACTGAAAGCAGTGACTGGGAAATGAGATGGGAAGCCAAAGGAGGGGGGGGGTAGGCGGGAAAGGGGACCAAAAATGGGGAGCGGGGGATAATGGGGAGCAAGCAGAATTTTCTTGTGGGGCCCCTAATAACTCAAGAACATTAAAATTCTAAAAGTGGCAAGTAGAACAATAGTACTCAAAGAGCAGGTTTAAAAGTGGAAAGCTACAGTAAACTGCATAAAAACATAAGATTAGTCTTCCCAGGGTTATGGGGAAACTGGTTTCATCTCTCTGCGTGTCTTGACTAAACAGCATTTAGTGCCCCAAAGTCATACACTCTGTGTGAGCCTGTTTTGCATACTGACCCCAGTGTCCCTTAAATAGTGGGTACTTTCTGTGGACCCTGCCTCTCTGTAAGGTCAGTTGAATGTTCTGAGCACCAGAAGATGTATTTTAGCAAAATGGTGTGATTTGTTGAAATAAAGAAGGCAAGTTACTTAAGCAGTTCTCCCACCTTGATGAAAGCATCTGCGTCATCCAGTGACTCAGGAGACAGATACCTTCTGGTGAAATCACATTAAGAAATGTGGCACAGATGTTTAGTAGCTTTTACAAAAAAGAACCCAGGAAATGAAAACAAACATGCTGCAAAAGTAGCTATGACTTTATATTAGTTTTGCATAAATGTGTGAACTCACTGAATATAGCAAAGTTTTCAACTGAATGATGCTGAAAGATGCAAAACATGACATTTACTGATAGGCGATTGTGTCCTCAGGTTGTCCTGTGATTTCTCACCTAAGTTTTCCCTGATGCAATGAAGCCTTGCAAAATCTAAAGTGAGATCTGAGAGCTTGAGGGGAGGGAAGCAAGACCTATAGGTCATATGACATTAGAATCTGCTGTATTATCATTATACTGCCACTAACAATAACCTTCAGGGCCAAGTTCCTGTTAGTAAAGGAGTGAAATACAAAATGAGGCTGTGTACCAAGCAGGGAGTACTTGCAAGCATGGCCATAAGCATAGATAGCTTTAAAAGGGGTTTAGGCAGATTCATGGAGGAGAAGTCCATTGACGGCTACTAAGCCATAGTGACTGAATGGTGTCTCCATGTAAAGAGGCAGAAACTCTCTGAATCCCAGGGCTCAAGAGGCGGCGGCAGCAGCAGGGGCTTGTTTTATCCTCTATACAGGTTGGTTGACTGCTGTATGGAAGCAGCATGGTGGACTGGATGGACCTTAGATCCGATCCAACAAGTTTTACTTATGACAAGGAGCAAATAATGAATGGGGGGAGGGATAGTCAAGCTGGAAGGGAAGAAAATAGAGATGGTAGAATGGTCTGAATTTGCTTGTCTGAACCGGTTCCTAACCATAGTGTGCCTCCTCCTGCTCAGCTTGTGTTTCCAAGCGATGGCCTATCTTGGTGTGCTGTCCATGATCCTGGCCTTGGTTCTGCTGGTACTTTGCCTCTTCCTGCCATGTCATGACTTCTGTCATGAACTTGCTGACTTAGTATGTCCCATACTATTCCCCTGGGTTAAAGTTGGGAACCTGAGTCTAGAAAGGGCCACTGTTTTAGATTATATTTTCTGAAGAATTCGGGGGCGAATGTTCCAGGGAGATACAGTAGATGAACTGGAACATTGTTCCACAATACATAATAATGCACCACCTAAGAATTAGCTGGGTTTTGTAAAATTAGCTAGCTGCTGTACAGATGCAGGCTGCTGAAGGTTCACTGATGTCTCCTATAGTTTTCAGGCTTATGTAAAACTACCGAGGGAGGGGGCTATTCTGTACAGCCATGAAACACTAAACAAAAAACAGCCAGTTTCTGGGCTTAGCACCTTATATCATCTTCAGCATTATATACATTTACTAGTAGCAAAGCTCGTAAAAGCAATACAAGCTCTAGAAAGATGTGAGCAGTACCTGACAGGCCTGGCTCCGTTCCACATGTTTCCATACATGTGAAGGCGCCTGTACACAGGTCCTCAGCATTTTCTTATGCATCCTTGTCTGTGTATCCATCTGTGCCTGCACAGAGGCCCCATCTGTCTGCCTGCAATCCGCTTTCTACCCCCTCCCCAGCGCTCAGGGCCATGCAGCTCGTGGATCTCAGCCTCAGCCTCCTCCTTGGCGGCCTTGTCCTCTATGGCAGTGGCCCCTGTCCGCTCCACCTGCCAAGCAAGTAGGAACAACCTGGGGGGGGGGGTTGCTCATAGCAATCTGCCCGTCCCGGTCCCTGCCAGGACTCGCAGACAGCCACTGGCGGGACAGAATGCCAACTGCATCCCCACCATCGCCAGATGCGCCCCCTCACCCACCGGGAGTTGCTGAGGTGCGGAGGAGTGCGGGGCCGTGCGAAGCAGCAGAGAGGCCACCGACAGCGGAGCAGGGGAAGCGGCAGGCGAAGAAGCCAAGCTGGGCCTGCAATGCCATCAGACGCCGATGGAGTAGCGGCAGGAAGACGGTGGCCAAGGACGGGCCCACCCCCAGGAGCACCGGAGAAGCAGCCAGTCAAGGCGGGTCCGAGTGGTGCAGAGCAATGAAGAGTGGCCGGGGGAGGAGGAGACTAGAAGCCATGCCTCCAGCCAAGTGACCCATCCTCTCTCCTGAAGTGAAGTTGTCTACTGAGTTGATTTTTGGTACGTGCAGCTTCTGTGGGTGGGACACAGCCAACGCAGCCACCAGTGGATGGCGACACCTTGTGAGTGACACATCAGGGGGGCAACTGATTTGGGAGCATGTGGAATGTTCTGGAGAGTCCACAACCCAAACACAATTATATATAAGGAGAGGTGTGGGATTTTGTTGCTTGTTTTTAGTGTGCCAGTACTCATAAGGTTATGCTAATTTCCACCAGTATCCACCTCAGGACCTGGGAGAGCCCGGAAAAGGGTATGGTGTATGTCTTTGCAAGCACCTCCTACCTGAGTGGTTTTCAACCTTTCCAGACCTGTAACCCATTAAGCCCCAGGCCTGTAACTCGAAAGGATGTGAAATGAGAATCATGGGACAAGGAGTCTGAAGGCAAGGACCAGGAGCAGCAGATCAAAAGAGCTGGGAACAGGAAACACAAACCAACTATCAGGAGGCATTCTGCAATGAGGAACAAGCCAAATATCAGAACCATGCAGGAATTCTCCCATTGAGTGATCTTGCTGCATGATCCTGCATCAGGAATGGCACCCTTGCTCTACAGGTAGTAGGCCCTTCCAAATGGCACCCCTGTAGAGATTTGTAACCTAGCAGGAAGGCTTCTGTGGCCCCCTATTCACTGGCTGAAGACCACTGCCCTTGTTTAATTGTGCAACCATTCTAAAACAGCCCTATCTAGATTGTGATCAGGTACTCTTTATCCCAACCTGCATTGATCTGTCTTCAAAACCATGTGTACCTGCACACAAACTACTAAAACAGGCCTGGCACAAGCTAAACTAAGTAGCCTCTGCGTCTCTCATAGCACCACAGGGCCTACACATCTTGGCCCTGGACCATGGTGTAGGTTCTCTGTGGGATGATCCAGGGCCCAACTTTATTTTATTTTTTTTATTTATTTTCATACTTATACCCCGCCCTCCCCAGTGGGCTCAGGGCGGCTCACAGAGGCAACAACAAGTTGCACTGAGGCCCCACATGGGCCTCCTGGGTCTGGTTGCTGGTGGCCCTCTGAGGCAGCAGCGCTCAGCAGTCTTCTCAAGTGAAAGAACTAGTCCTCGCTTACATACCAATGGTTCTTCATAAGCATTTTATAACTTCACAGGGGACCCAAGGAGCAGAGCTGCTGCAATCCTATGGTTACTTAAAAGTACGTTCCCTCGACTTAACTCTGGGTAGAGGATTCCCTGCAGCTTCCCAACAACAACATGTGGCAGTTTTAAGCGCCCAATTGAACTTTGTGGCTTTTAACCTCTGGGTTTAGAATTGGGCAGTATGGCTGCTTTGGGGTTGCAAGCGCACCGTTGCGCCATGACCCATCGCGGCACATTTGCTTCTTCCACACAGCCACTGCGCGCTCCGTCTGCTCCTAGGCAAGTGGGTTTCCTAGCCAACCTCCTCCTTCCCCTCCCCCCCCCGACCCCCTGCAAGGATGCCAAGGAACTCCTCTGTGCCTTTCGGACGCCACCGCCAGACTAAGCAAGCCGTCCCTGCGACGTATCTTGCAGCGAGCTGGCCAACGTGTTGTGTTGGGTGTCTCTGCAGCTCCTGCCTGCAGTTGCGCCCCTTCCCAGTCGTCCTCCTCTGCTGGTACAAGCCTGACACACACACACACGCACCAAATTTCCAGATGCTGAATCGGAGACCTGAAAGGACCTCCAGAGTACATGCCAGCCATTCATCCTCCTCTCTCGCTGTTGTCGCAGCAAACCCTTCTCGTATCGCGTCGCGCGTTCCGACGTCTGCTCCTGCAGATGGAATATGCCCGCCAAGCGCCGGAATAATTAGCCTCAAACCAATTGCCCCGCCCTTCTCAGGAGGGGTGACAACTGCATTATACTGGGGGGGGAGGCTTCCTTGAGGACCAAGGGGACCTAACGTATGAGGGCGTCTTTCCACCCCGCTATATCCGTGTGTATTTTGCAGAGTCATCCTTTTATTTTTCCGGGTTTGGATCGGCAGACACCCCTCCCCCCGTTCCCGCGCGTGAAATAACTTCATTCAGGTAAAAAGGGGAACTCTTCTCCCTTTCTTTCGCAGCGCCGGATTCGGAGTGGGTTTTATTACGCTGCTCCCTTTCTGTCTTCTTTACCTAACCGCTTCGCCTTCTGCCGCGCGGTACAATTGCGGGGGAGGGCGGGGGATCGCATGCGTAATGGGGATCGCCCGTCTCCTTTTGCATTCCTCTCCTCGCCGCCTCGTCCTTACTGCCGTGGCCGGGGGGGGGGACCGGGGGGGTTAGATAAGTGGCGGATACCAAGGGCAACCTCCCGGCACCATTGCCGCAGTCTCCCCAGGGACTGTGCGCTCGCGAAGGAAGATGGTGTCTCTGCAGCCAGCCAGCGCGACCCGCGCGTCTTCCCCGGTCTCGGCTGGACCCACGTGTAAGTCTTCTTCGCTGCCGGCTGTTTGTTCTCCTCCTCCTGCAGGCAGGTTGGGCCTAGGAGCCTGGCCGGCTCCCAGGCAGAGGCGACGACGGCCGAGCTTCCCCCGCTGGCTGGCTGGCTGCTGAGGGGAAGCCGCCCCCTATACGCTTATGCAACACATCATCGAAAACCATCCCGACATGGCAACGGCGCTGCTGGCTGGGGAGAAACTCAAGGAGCTGATCCTGCCGGGGCCGCAGGACGACAAGGCCGGCTCACTGGCGGCGCTGCTGCTGCAGCTCAAGCTGGAACTGCCCTTCGACCGCGTGGTCACCATCGGCACCGTCCTCATCCCGATCCTCCTGGTCACGCTGGTCTTCACCAAGAACTTTGCCGGTAAGGGTCGCCAGGAAGCCACCCGCGGTTCTGCTTGCTCTCGTGTAGTGGGGATGCCGAGCAATAGGCGGAATCCCGGAGCTGAAGCCGTTTCCCATCATTGCACGTCCAGATCAGCTCCACCTGTTGAAATTCTGCCAGTCACTCCAAAGCTGAGTGGCAGGTGGAAATCCAGCAGATGCAGCTGTTTCCTGTCATATCAGTCTGCCTATGGAAATGCTCTCTGTCATGCAGCTGTTAAGAACTGAGGGATAGGGTGAAATCTGGCAGGTGAAGTTCTTGGGCAGTCAGCACCTGTTGACGTTCTGCCAGTCAAGCAGCTCTTAAAAGCTGACTGATGAGTGGAAAACCAGCCAGTGAAGCTGTTTCCCATTGCTGCATATTAAGAGCCTGTTGAAATTTTTTTCAGTGATGGTGCTATTAAAAGACCAGAGGATGCTTGGGATAGATGTGCCAGGTAAAGGCACAGACCATAGGCATAATGCCATAGACTTGATATATGACACCAACTTAAGCTATGAAATTCAGTTCAGATCTCAGCTCTGCCCTGAACTCCTCAGACAGTGAACCACTCTCTCTCTGGCAGAAGGTCTGCCCTGTTTTGTATGGTTGTTGCAGTACTTATAACAACATAAAGCATGATGTGCTTCAAACAGAGCTTCTAAAACTCCTATCAGGATATGTCAGGGTAGAGCTGCATCAGAGAGGGGAATAACAAGTTCATAGATGGGATGGCAAGCTAGAGAGAGCGAGGATCATGTCTAGTGTCAACCTGTGCCCTTTGGGAGAGGGGGTGAAATCGTATCTTAAAACCGCCTTAGGCTCAGTGGTTTCAGTATACAATAGCTCCCACAGAAAAGAAATTTGAATGACAGCTTCGGTTTTGTTCTTCACAATGTCCAGAAGCACTTGCATGACGTGTATCGGGTTGGATCCAGCGCAATTTTTCCATTGGGTGAATAGAACTTCCATGTCTCCCCTCTCCTACAGCGGCCCACTGATCATCAGGAAATGCTGCTTCTGGGGGACAGGGGACTCTAAGGGATGTGAGGTGGAGGGAAGCTGCAGCAGGAAGGGGGAATCAGCAGAAATTGCCAGTTTAGTCTGGCTCTAACCCAGCTTCTCCTGGGAGCAGTTGTGATTCAAGATCCATTTCCCTGAAAGAAGCCATCAGTCATTGGATATACACACTTTGGCGGGAAAGGAGCAATTCTTAGTTTCTTTAAATTCATGGCCTTGATTTCATTGCTCTTATGGAGTCTTGGGAGGTATGCAGTTCACATTTTTGCCCGAGAAAATGGGATGGAGCAGAGCGATATAGAGGAACTGTGGCTCGATGTGTTGTTGAAGGCTTTTAAAGCCGGAGTTCATTAGTTGTAGATTTTCCGGGCTGTATGGCCGTGTTCTTGGCATTGTAGTACCTGACGTTTCGCCAGCAGCTGTGAATGGCATCCTCAGAGGTATAACACCTTATACCTCTAAGGATGCCAGTCACAGCTGCTGGCGAAATGTCAGGTACTACAGTGCCAAGACCACAGCCATACAGCCCGGAAAATCTACAACAACTAATGAACTGTGGCTCATTGGTAAAAGTCTGTGTTTTGCATGCTGAAGGTTGCAAGTTCAGTACCTGGTATCTTCAGCCAAGATCTCTTGTAGCCGGTATCAGGCGGACTCTTCTCTGCCAGAGACCTTGAAGCAGTCTGCCAGTCAGAAGTAGATGCATAAGGTGACCCAGTGATTCAGTATGTCAACTTCATGTGTTCAAGAGCCACCATTCCACGGTCACATTTTGTTGCTCTCATTTCTTGCATTTCTGTTGAACTATTATTGTCCATTCCCACCTGTCTTGGTTTGGCCTTCTGAAAGTTCTTGCCTAAGTTTTCCTGTATATTGACTTTTTATGTGGGCAGGAATTTTATTATTTGCCTGTATGTGTTAGATCCCCAAGCATGAGAATAGATCCACGTTCAAAAGTAAAGCAAGATTTATTTCAAAGACATGGTTGATCACGAACACACAGGAATTGATTGGAATGACGTTTGTCAGCAGTACAGGTATAATAAAGGAATTTTGAAGGTGCTATTTGGACCACAGGTTTGGACCAATGGTCCCACTTCCCGCTGGAAACGGGGAGATTAGAAAGGGCGCGAAGGTACATGAGAAAGTAACGCCCGTTTCCCTAAACACAAGTTCATTTCACACAGGTAAGTCTAAACAAGCATGAGTGCGAAGACATAACTCTCACTTCTCACCAGCTGGCGACCTTGGTTACAGCAGTTGCCTAAGAGGAGGAAAAACATGAGAGCAAAACAGGGGGG